GGCTCTCTGTGGTGCTGCCAGAAGTGGCTGTAGGATTACAACCATACGTGTCTTTTGTATTCTCACAGCAGTCATCAAGGCACTAAAAAGGCATTAAGAATCACATCTCTCCTCTGCAGGATGGCAGGGGCTGTGAATGATGGCTTCTTCTCTGTGCTCATTTTCACAGAATCACAGAATGGTTGGCTTGCAATGGACCTCGAAGTCCATCCCGTTCCAACCTGTGTCACAGGCTGCCAGCTCAGGCTGCCCGTGGCCCCATCCAACCTGGCCTTGAACGCCTCCACAGATGGGACAAGCACAGCTTCACCACCCTTGGAGTTAAAAGTTTCCCCTGAACATCTAATCAAATCTAAATTTCCTCACTTTTAGTTTAAAGCCATTCCCCCTTTTCCTTTCACTATAAGACTGTGTACAAAGTCACTCTTCCTCCTGTTTATAAGCTCCCTTTAAGACCTGGAAGGCAGCAATGAGGTCTCCCCAGAGCCTTCTCCAAGCTGAACAAGCCCAGCTCCCCCAGCCTTTCCTCACAGAGGAGGTGCTCCAGCCCTCTGATCATCTTCATGGCCCTCCTCTGGACCCACTCCAACAGCTCCACCACATCTTTCTTGTGCTCTCTTGCCAGGGCAAACCTCATTATGTGTTCAAATTATTTGGGGTCACAGAGGCTGAGGGATCACACATGGCAGGCCAGTGTTAGTCACTGCAGGTGAGTGGTGAGTTGCCCTGAGCTAACCACAGAGGTGAGTGAGTCACAGAAATGCAGGAGAGATTAAGGAGGCTCCCTGGGCAAAGAATAGTAAGTTTTAAAAAGTGGTTATTCAGGTGGGTGCTCTGAGAAATGCCTGTGTAGGCCGCGAGCCCTGAGACTGCTGTGCCAAGACAGCTGAACAGTGAAAGCACCAGCCAAAAGAACAGCACACCATAGAATCATTAAGGTTGGAAAAGACCTCTAAGAGCATGGAGTCCAGCCGCCAGCCCATCCCCATGCTTGTCCATGCCCACCGAACCGCGTCCCTAAAGGGCCTCACCAAGGGAGAGCCTGTTTGTGGGCAGCAGCCACCTAACTGCAGCCAAATGGGGAGCCCCTCTGCAGACTGTCATGCACCTGCCCCCAAAATGCCATCCTGAGACTCCGAGTAACGAAAATGCAGGCTCCAGACCCTCACACACAGCGTTACAGAAAGGCAGCTGGTTTTGTTACAGCTGCTTATGAAAACTATCACAATAGTAGCATGCAACCGCCAATTGGGATTTTGCCAAAGGAAGCTCAGCTTGGAAGAGAAGTGTTTGGCTGGTGGCACAGACATGCTGATAGATCATTTTCAGTGTCCACCTACAACTTGTAGTTAGCAGGACATAAGGAAAGGGGATGGAGGAGAAGAAAAGAAGCCAACATATTTTTGGGAGAGGCAGCCAAGGGGACTCAGCTGATTTCTATAAGGCAGCTACCCTGACACTTGGACAACTAAACATTGCATTGTTCAAGCTGGGAAAAAAAAAAAAAAAAATGAAATAGTTTTTGCAAGAAGGCTTCTTGTCCAAATAAGCAATGCCATCCCTTTGCTTCTGTTAGAGCGTTACATGGGGGAGAAAGAAGCCCTGGGCAGCTCTGTGCTGCCTGCCTCGGGGTGCACGGCTTTGCTCTCACTTCCTGGCAGTGAAAGGTGGGAGGCGGATGGAGCTGCTCACAGCTCTCTGACTCACTGCAAAGAAGGCCGGACAGAACAAGCACAATCAGATATCACCGTGCAAGCACGCTGGGTGGCTTCACATGATCTGGCTGCAAACTACCACTGGCATTTAAAAGGGTCAGAATCAGTTATTTCTATGTTGGAGCAAATTGACAGCCACACAAAACTCACCAAGGCATCAGAGGAGGCAGAACAGAGGTAAGCACAGCTGGCACCATCATCCTGAAGAACAAGCAACGGGCTTGGGAAGTGGGACCACAGTGCCTGGGCTCCCAGAAAGCAGCCAGCACGGCGGCTGGATGAAAATGCTGCGCATCAGGGACAAGTTTTGGTAACACAAGGTTGAAAGTGCAGGCTGTTTCCTCTGCAGACTTGTTCTTGCATTCCAAATTGATTTATTAAATGGGCGGATTGCTCTTTTGTTATTGCAGGGAGCTAGAAAGATGTTGTGAGCCATGGCTAACAGCAGCGCTGGCCAGATGGGCTTAAATTGGAAAGAGCAGAGAAACAGCAGGGTAGAAGGAATAAAACTCAGATCCTCCTGGTCCCTGCAGGACTACCAGCCACATTGCCCTCGTCTCCCCCTGGTGCTTTCAGGACACAAATCCTTCTTCCATCCCCAGACTTCAGGCTCCTAATGTCTCATTGCCAGCACACTGTTCTAAGGCACCATCATCCACAGGAAAAGCTCAGACACAAAAGGGAACTGCAGTGACAGCGCTCCAAGCCCTTACCAGCCACCACCACTTGCTTCAGACCCATCTTCCACCCCATTCCAACAAAGACTCCATCTGGATGCATTTAGCATATCCTTAGTGCCGTGTGTCTACCTTCTGTCCAGTGTCAAGGACAATGGATTCAAGGCTTTCATTCAAGGTCTTATCTATATATTATAGCTGAGAGAAGTGGAACGCATGAAGAGGTTAACTGAGCTACCCAGTAGTGGAAAAAAAATAAAAAGTTTTTTCTCTGGTACAAAAGCAGCAACAGAGAAACTGTCAATCAGCAGCAGGGAGGCCAACGAGAGACAGCACCCATTAGTGGCAAGCTGTCAGCTCCACAACCCCAGGGGAGAGGCAGCTGCCTGTGCACTGAGGACAACACCACTCTGCATACATTCTAACCTCCCACCATGTGTAAGGGAATCTACTCTCCTTCTTCATCCCAAGTTGTCAGGCTGTGACATCCTCAAACAAGTTTGTCTATGGCAGAAGTCACAGAGACGTGACGTGTGAGTCTACCAGCTTGAAGCCATAGGTACAACACAGCCCTTGGTGTAGAGCTCAGCTTCTCCTAACCCAAGTCCACGCGGTCACACTCCATTCATAACCCATCTAAAGAGACACAGCAGCAGACTTCAGCCAAGGAGGAGACAGTCATCTGCTCCGCAGGCCCACAGCTGCTGGTGGGCACATGTGAGGGAGCAGAGGACACAGGGTGACAGCAGCCACAGCCTCACATGCTGCTGTGGGAGGGTCTGGCACCTGAAAAGCCAGGCAGGCAGCTCTGCTTGCTGTTTGACACATCCACGGGGCAAAAGGGATGATGCAGAGCGCTGCGAAGAATGGTGGCGGCTGCCCAACAGCAACAGCCGCCATTCCTGCTTGCCCCACGCCTGAGGTGGTGGCGGAAGCAGCGGGCTGGACACATCCCCCTCTTTCCATGGCAGGACACAGTTCAAACCAACCCCTCGTCCCCGGGGAGGGCGAGTTCAATTGGGCTGCACTGCTGGAAGCCCTTGATCCAATGCTGGGAAATCCCCACAGCCCCACTGTACTGGGCAGAGGCAACCAGCTCGCATCATCCCCCGAGCGTGGAGCTGCCAAGAAGCGCCTTTCCATACAAGTCTCATCTGGCTTTTCAGCATGGAGCTCTTTTGACTGAAACCACAATACTTAGCATGCTTCAATGATCAAGCAGAGGGCACGGGAATGTCACAGCAAACACTTGGCTCCCAAACACATCATTGTTCTTCCCCCTTCCCCATTCACAGATCCTGACCAGAACATCCCGAGCAAGCTTTAAATGTTTTCTAGCAAATCCAGCAAGCAGTACCACAGAAACATTTGATCTGCCGTCTTTCTGAACACACACACTCACATGAGATCCATATGTTGCCGGGCCCCGCCAGCACATCCAAGCAGCTCCTGGAGGCAGCCCTCATGGCCATGCGCTTCCAGCACAGCCAAACCAGCCTTTGCCAGGCTGCAATTAGCCAGGAAGGCTGACGAGGCCCCGCGTGCTGACTGTCAATCACCATGGCAGCTGGGATGTCTCCTTGCTTGGATTTCTTTACTTGCACATGAAGCGCACCTCACATCTTCTCAGCCACCTCAGTGCCCCGCCTGGAGCTTGGGTTACCCTGTGACACCTGCATGCCCCCACAGCTTTAATTTCACCTCCTTCCTCCATTCTGCCTCGCCCCCCCACCCCTCCCACTCAGAGCCGTCTTGGCCACGGAGCCGCATGGGTGCCATTTTCCCCTCAGCAGCCCCAGTGCCAAGAACATGGCGCCCAGGCGGCCCCACGGCCAAGATGGCGCTGGGTGTGAGGCGGCTGGGTGGGAGGGCGGCCCCACAGTGGCGGGAGCTGTTTGGAGGAAGGCTGCATAAGCAATTGAAGAGAGAAAGCGAGCTAATTAAAGACACGTGATAAAGTCATGAGTTTTAGCCACGCTGAATATCTCATTAGGTCTACTGAGCCTTGTGGGAAGGGATCCTCGGCCTGGCGGAGGGCGGCCATCACGCTCCTGAAGCCTCTCCATGGCAAACGCCGACTACGGCTCTCCTTGGGTGCCCCCCAACACAGGGCAGCACAGCCCCGCGCCCGCTGTCCCTCACCCATCATGAGGGCACCATCCATCGCACTCGGGCTGCTTTTAACTCGAAAGGGCAAAGTTATGCAGGAAGGGGCTGCTCTGGAAGCAGAGACCCAAGGCAGCGTGGTTTAACCTCGTGTCACCCCGTTAGAAGGCCCGTCCTTGGTGCCATGCGGACTCGGGTGCACAGCCGCGCTCCCCCCTTGCTTTTGGGGAGCAGCCCCCGCCGGTCGGAGCGGCCCCCCCCCGGGACGTTCCCACCGTGGAAAGGGAAGGGAGCTCTATAAAGTTCCCATTATTTTTAGCGAGGAGGAAGGAAGCTCGGCGGGAGCAACGCCGCCGCAGAGGAAATGCGGGAATGCAGGCAGAGGGGAGCGGGGCTCCGGGCGGGGGGGAGCGGGGCGGCGCGCAGGTACGGGGCGGCAGGAAGCGGGGGCGGGCGGCGGGGCCGGGCCGAGGGGAGCGGGGCGGGGCGGGGCGGGGCCGGAGGGGGGTGGCCGTAAGGTGAAGGTTGTTGCCGTGGGTTCATTAAAAGACAGAGTTCAACTCCTCGCGGCCGCAGAGCGCTGCTGGGAGGCTGGTTTGGCAGTGCGAGAAGGGGAAGAGAAGAGCGATAGAAAATAGAAGTTCATGTGCTGAAAACTCCGGGGGGAGAGGCGGCGGTCGCTTAAAAGCGCACTCCGAGGAGCGGGACAGGAGCAGCGAGGCGAGGGCAAGCTGCGCGCTCCCGAGGCCCGCCGAGGAGGAGGACGATGCTGCGCGCGGTGGCCGTGCTGCTGGCAGCGCTCTGCTTCCACGCTGCCGTCCCGGTGAGCGGCGGGCGGGCGGGAGGAGCGGCGCACGTGGGCGGCGGGGATCCGGGAGGCGCGGGTTCGGATCCCTGCGGGTTCGGCTCCTCGCGTCGACGGGGTTAGCGCGGGGGGAGCGGCTCCCGTGGCCTTTTGTGCTCCGGGAGTCTTAATTCAAACCAGACCCGCTGCTGCCGCTCGCGACCTGCTGGCGGCCCCGCCCCAGTGCGAGGCAGCGAGCGCGCCGCGTCTCGGGAAGCGGGGAGAGCCGGAGCGCGGCCTCGCGTGCGGCCCTTTGTGAGTGGGGCAGGCTGCGCCCGGGGCTTCTGTGCCTCGCGTAGCTCCCGGAGCCCGGCTCGGCGCTTCCCCGAGGCGTGCGCCGTCCCGGCCGCCCCGTCAGCCCCTCTTTCTCTGCCGGAGAGCTCCTCCCAGCTCCGGGAGTGCTGCCGGGGAGCGGCCCGGAGCCTCCATAGGGCTGAGGGCAGCGTGTCAGACCGGCAGCCGGGCTTCCGTACGACTGCAGCCGCCAGATGTCATCCACGAACAGAGGATGGCTCTGCCGGCTCTGCCTTTCCCCGGCAGCGTGGCACTTGTTGCGGCTCCCGGGCTCCGTGTGGGGCATCGTTTGTGGGGTCTTCTGCCCCTGTGGGGGTTAGGAAGGGAAAGGACGAGGGGAAATGGTTTCGAACGAATAGAGGCTGAATGCAAGGAAAAAGTTTTTACAGTAAGGGCAGGGGAGCAGTGGCACAGGTTGCCCAGAGGTGGCGGATGCCCCGTCCCTGGGGACACTCAAGGTCAGGCTGGATGGGGCTCTGAGCACTGCTGGAGCTGTAGGTGTCTCTGTTCACTGCAGGGGAGTTGGACCAGGTGACCGTTAAGCGTCCCTTCCAACTCAATACTGTAATTTGGAAGTGCTTTGGAGATGCTTTCCAGCAGCGGTTGGGTGAGGTGTGGCGGAACATCAGGACCTGAGCTGAGCCCAGTACCTGCAGCTCTGCTGTGCTGCCCTGCCTGAATGCTGCCCGTAGGTTGGGACGTCTGGTCCTCGTGGTGGTGAGTGGTCAGGCTGTGAGGTGGCTAAAAATGGCAGGCGTGTGAGTGTAGGTGCCTTGTGTTGTGGGAGAGGGCCTCACTCACTGCTTCTGAGTGAGCGTCTTAAGAAATAAAGTGGAAAACCTGCAGTTTACTTGTGGCCTCTGGAGTGGATTTGGGTAAAATTACCCTATGATAAATGTTTCTTATTAGGCATAATATAGGCATGAGGCGAACGCTGATATGGAGTTTTCCAGTGTGTGGGAGATGCTGGATGATGCTTCAAGTTGAGGGGTGTCTGGCGTGAGCACGGAGTAAAAGTCCTTGGGTGCTCAGCAGTGACTCAGCATCACTGCTTCCCTCCTGGGGATCACGTGGCTGACTTCCCATGTTGAAATGTCAGTGAGGAAGCTGCCTTTCCCACCAGTCTGCAGTCATAGTGGCAGAAGGACTCAGTGTTGGGCATGGGAAGCAGAGTGACCTGGGCTGGTCTTTTGCTGGGTTGCATTCTTATGGGTCTGCCTGGCTCTTGGTGGTCTGCCTCTGGCATGTCACTTGGCCTTGGCTATTGCTCTGGGGCTTTGCTAAGCAGCCAGGACAAGAAAGGAGCCAAACAACAGCAGTTTTCTTTCTGGCTGCTCTTACATGCAGGAATAATAAGGGGGCTCCTATTATGTCCTCAAGATGACACTGCCTTGCTCAAACATCCTGTATGACATTCAGTTCCCTCTTTGGAATAACAGAAGCACTGCTTTTCTTGAAATAAGAAGGTTGACACATCCTAATGGGTTTGCCTGTTTATTCTCTCATGGGAGACTCCTCTAGGATGTAGTCTTGTTGGGAATCCAGCCAAGCTGGGATGCATGACCTGCTGCAGGACAGTGGATAACCCAGCCTGTGCCTTGAGGAAGACAGAGTTTGGATTGTTCCAGCAGGTGTAGATGTGCACTGTTGGTTAATGCAACCTTAGCAGAGCAGGCAGAACTTTTTTTCCAAGAGTGATGTCATTCCTATCTGAACGTAAGCTAATTAGAAGAAATGAGGTAGCCCAGCTCGCTTATTAAACATGTAGGCAGCAGATGAGAAGGAAACACTTTCTTCTGCAGGAATACACACAGATCAGCGTCACGTAATTTATCAAGTGCTGTAAACAGTGCTTCTCTATGTGAATGCTTGCTTGCTGGTAGCTCCCTCCCAGTAAACAGTGATTCAACTCTGACAAAGCAGAGAGCTGTAAGCTATGGTTGGTATGGGGCAGGGGCTCCAGTGCAAGCCTTTTGTTCCAGGCTGCTCTTGGCTTTAAGTGGCTGGAAGAGCTAACATTTGTAATGGCAGCACTCTGAAATTTCTGGAAACCAAACAATCCTCTTTAACAACCTGAGACGTGTTACAGCAAGTGCTGGGAACTTGTAAGCCTTCTAAAATTGAGTGCACTAACCTGAAGTGTAGGCTGCTGTTTTAGCAGCAAAATTGGTCCGTTTTAAGTATGTATTTTGCATTGCTAGTGTGTAGATGTCTCCAGGTGGCCTGTGTAGTAGAGCCTTGTTTGATGTGGCTCTTGTGTGTTTAAGGACCATAGCAATGCCTCTGAGATTGATGTTCCACAACTGTGTATGCCATTGCACAGCTAGGGAGCTGGGGCTTTAGCAGGGCCGGCTGTAGGAGTAGATAGAGAAGGAATCCTCTTGGGGGAGCGATGACCTCTTTCCTGAGGAGGTGATGCCAGTGAAGTCACTGCAGCTTGCAGTTCATGGAATCACAGAACTGTTTGGGTCGAAAGGAACCTCACAGACCATTGGGTTCCAACCCCTTGCTGTGGGCATTGTTGCCAACCACTTAAATCGGGCACCAGATCAGGCTGCCCAGGGCCTCATCCAGCCCAGCCCTGAATGTCTCCAGAGGTGGGGCATCCACACCCTCTCTGAGCAGCCTTGTCAGCACCTCAGCCAGCCTTTCAGTGAAAGATGTCTCCCTGACATCTAATTAAATTTCCTCTAAGATGGCACCTTAGACATCTCTTCAGCTATTAATACAGGACTCCAGCACAGCCAGACCCTGTCGTGCCTGCTGACACCTGGGGTGCCTCAGGTGGCACAAGCCCTCAGGACAACGTTCACTCGGTGCTCAGGCACCTAAATGTGAGTTTGTGTGTGCGAGGTAGCAAAGCTCTTATTATAATCACAGTGGTGTAATTGGTGAGCTGGAGTGGTTATTTGACCAGCCCATGTGTCTGCTTCAGGGTGAGTGGCTTGTCTGGCTTCTGTTGACTAGATCTCATTTTGACCATAAGGGAGCATGGATGCCTTTATGTCTGTATCTGAGAGCGATAAGCTGAAAGTGCTGCTCTACTCTGTGCAACTTTCCTGGTGTCCCTCTGCATAAACAAACAGGCCAGACAGGTGCTGTGGCTGTGCCAAGAGAACCAACAAAGCAGTGGGAAACATCAGCTTTTAGCTCGCTCCTGTTCTGGTGCAACTGGGTCAGTGCCCCCAAACAATGCCCTAGCCTTGCCCTGCTGGAGGCTGGAGTTGGGGACTACAGCTGGGCCTTGGATCTTGGCCTCTCCCATCTGTTCTGATGGGAGAAATGCAAGCGTAATCGTGAAGGTGCAAAGAGGAAATTGTTGTGACCAGAGGCACGAGGGCTTCTGCTGAGTCTTACAGATTCATTTCTGTGTGCTGAGAAGATGCTCTGAAATGCCAAGGTCGTGTGGTTGTCCCTTTTGGAGCACTGAGGTCAGTATTCTTAACGGGTCCCTAAGTTAGAGCCAACTGGCACACTCCATTTGAACTGCTGCTCTGCTGGGCTCCTGTTGTACTGCAGCAATGAGCTTTATCTGGCCTGGCTGAAGCCAGCACTTTCTGCTGTGAAGATGCTGGTGGAAAAGTTACTGTGCTGTGAAGCCTCACCTCAAGGCAAAATAACATTTGTTGCTCCACAAGAGTTGCTTGTAGGAGGTCCATCTGCTAATGCGGTGGTTTCCCAACCCCTCCATTTCTCAAGCAGTGCCTGGCTGCAGCTGATGTTCTAGGTTTCGTGGAACCGGCCTGGATCCAACAGTCTGTTAGCTCGGGCTCCTTGCCATGCTCAGCTGTAATGTTTGTGTGTCACTGCTGAGACCAGTCTCACCAGTGAGGCCTGCTTCACTGAATGGGAACCAAGAGGGTTAGTGGGCTTTGGATGGAGCTGGTAATAGAACTTCCTCTTGAGTCACTGGAGCTGCAGTTACAACTGAGTCACAGAGATGTTGTAAGCTATGGCGTTCCTGCAAGGCTTCTAGTTTGAAACCTTCTTGGGGTTTTGACTCATGCATCTTGCTGCCATGATCTCTGGCAGAACTCTCTTCTCCATTGACTTTATTTTTACCATGTGATTCACTTTTATGTCCATTCATTTTGTCTCCTAGTGTTTGGGGTTCTTCTGATACCTGAAAGCCCTTAAGGACCTCTTTTGCAGAATGAATCCCAGCTAAATTGAAGGCAGTGATAAAAGATGGGAACCCGCTTGCCAACCAGCTGAAAATACTCAGGCTGTTTTGCTTTTCATGGAGACTGTGCTCCTCTCATGCTCCACTCTGTAACTTCACTGTGCTGCAATGGCAGTGTCCTCAGCCTCTGATGGAGCAAAGGCTGATATGTTGATGCTTGGCTGCAGGCAGTGCTGGGCACAGTGGCACCCAAGCAGCTTTCTGCAGGGTACAGCCAGTTCATGCAACAGCTTCTCTGGGTGCTCTGGCTCCATCAGCTGAACTCATATGTGCCATGCTACAGTGGGTTGCTCCTTTGTCTGCCTGTGCCACGTGATCTGGGGCTGATTGCCTCTTAATTGGAAGGCAACTTGAACTCTGCTCCAGTTGTAAGGAGCCCTCAAGAAACGCTTCCTGGGCAGCAACTGCAGACCATGGCTGTCCCACGTGGAACACAGAAAAGCTTTACTAATTAGTTTCTAATGGTGGTGGTACACGGTCAGCAGTTCCATCCAGCCATTTG